AATTTGTTGTTGTTAATTGGTGTTGAGTAGATTGCAACTAATGGTGACCTCTTCATGCAAAGCAGAACTGTATGCCACAGAGTTTTCATTTCTGTGACCTTTCAGAAGTAGATTGCCAGTCTCCTCTGGGTAGGTTGGAGTTGCCAATCTTTCTGCTTGCAGTAGAGCATTTAGCCATTTGTGCCACTCAGCTAGTAACACCCCCTGAAATCCCTGCCGATATAGTACAGGTGCCTCCCATAGGGCCAGTCCTCTTGGCGTCTATGTCCACCATTTTGTTTTTCTTTGTCTCCACATCCTCCCTCTCTTCATGGCTGAAGCCAGCACAGCCTAGCCCCTGGTGCTTATTGAAGACACCTGTGAGAAACAGTTCTACGATTGCTACTCTTAGCGCGCTACAGTTGATGTGGCTGCTCCTGATGTCTGCCCAGTGGGCCACGCTGGAGTGGAGCCAGTGGCCTACTGTTCTTTCATATTCTCAATGCTTCAGTTCTTATAAGGATTTACACACTCTTTTATTGCTCACCTGTCCCAAAGGCTCCACATTGGCTGGCAAGTTGCCATTGGCTAAACCTGTGGACTTGACACCCTCTCTCCTTGGGATGAGTTCCTTCCCAGGAAGTTCTTCAATCACCAGGTAAACAGATCCACTTAAAGGTTACCCTCCAGATATGACCAAATATGCTTGAATATTTAGGCATATATGGGTCAATGCCACTAACTCTGGGAAAAGGAATGAGAGAAGAAAACAGGAGCAAACACAAGACAGGCTGAAAAAATGAACTTGAGAGAGAATAAGAAGTACGGGTAGCTTATGTGGAGCCTTCAAATCCCCAGGAAAATAATGTGTCTTTTCTTACTCTTATTTTTTCATCTAGGAGATCTGGTAGCATAGTGCCTAAGGCACTTGACTGCTAACCAGAAGGCTGGTGGTTCAAACCCACCAGCCAACCCTCTGAAGGCAGGCTGGGCAATCTACTTCCTTAGTGATACTGCCTCGGAAACTCAGGGAGGAGTCACTGAGTTGGGTCCCACTGAACAGCACATAACAACAACAACAACATTTTTTCATCTGATTCCTTCTCCTATCTGTTTTTCTATTTTGTATTCACATTTTTAAGTCACTTAAAACTTCTTTGAAACACAGGATAAAAATAAACGAATAAATACGGTAATTCATAGTTGCACAGTCTGAAGACAGGAGTTATGCAGTCAAACGAATGGGCAAAAACTGATAAACAAGACCATGGCCAGAACTTGAAATAACAGTTTTTCAAAGTAGATTTTAACTCCCAAATGGTGTCCTGACCCTGAGTTACTCTGCTCATAGCAAAGTAGTTTGGCAGAATCTGTTCCTTCAAAAACAAGACAAAACAAACAACAACAATAACAAAAGCTCCAGACTAGCAAGCCACAAGGGCCTGACTCTAGTCCTGAGGAAAGAGAATTTGGGGGGCGCAGGGTGAAAGGACAATAGCTCTGGGGGTAGTGAATCATGCCCCTCCAAGGGGGCAGGAATATTACCGACTTCAGTGGTTTTGGAAAACCGACAGCAAAGGACACAGATGGTAACCAGTTCCCCTGGACGGGGCTTTTTCTGACGCTCCCTCCACCGCACCCCAGGACGATGCCTTTCGCTCTCTCAGCCCCTCCCCTCCGCTCTGCTACACTCTCTCTGACCTCGCAGCCTTTTTCCTTCTTTCCCGCCTCATCCTTGCCTCCTCCCCCAGTGCCCGCGCTCTTCCCGCACCAGGACTCTCCTCGCCGCCTTTCCCTAGGCCCCCGGCCCCCTTTGCTCCGCTCAGCTCCACCCTCCACCCCACCCCACCCGGTCACTGGAAGCCCCTCGCTTTCCTTCTCACCGAGTGCAGACCTCGGGGACCAAGGTCAGCCTGGGGGCTGCAGGTGGATCGGCGGGAAGGGCCCCGCCGGGCGAGAGCAGACAGGACGCGGCCCGACGGGACGGGACAGAGCGCGCCGAGCGGCCGGGGCGGGGAGAGTGGGCCGGCCCCTCCCGGCGCTCGGGCCGAGGGGCGGTCCGAGCCTCCCGCCGCTGCCGCCCCGCGTGCCTCGGCTCGCGCTCGCTCATTCCGCGGAGCCCGACCATGTGCAACTGGCTGCTGTTCCTGCTGTGGGCGCTGCTCCCCGGGGCGGCCGCGGCGGGCTCGGACCGACCCTACCCGCACCGCACGGTCCTGGACTCGGAGGGCAAGTACTGGCTGAGCTGGGGCCAGCGAGGCGGCCGTCTCACTTTCCGCCTCGAGGTGCGCACCGCCGGCTACGTGGGCTTCGGCTTCTCGCCTACTGGGGCCATGGCCTCGGCAGACATCGTCGTGGGCGGAGTGGCCCACGGGCGGCCCTACCTCCAGGTAAACTTGTCCCGCTCCGGGAGTCCGCCCTACCAAGCCCCCATCCCGGTTCGGATCATAGGAAAGTGCCAGGAGCAGGGGCGCAGGGTCGAGAGATCCCTCGCGCGATCACCGGCCAAGGCTGGGCATCCTCGCGCCCTGCAGTGGCGTATCCCTAGCTCTGCATTCTTTCTCACCTTCGCGGGCAACTCCTGCTCCCTCTGAGCGGAAGGCGCCTGCGACTCGGCTCCGAGAGTTTTCGCTCCGGGAAGCTGAGCGCAGTCACTCCTGGCCGTTTTCCCTCTCTGAACACTGCCCTGTCCCTGGCGCCATCCTTTACAGAGCTCCACCGTGGACATACCTGCCACACATCCTCCTTCATCCCTGATGAAAGGAAGTGAGACCCCTGCTTTGGGGGACCTAAGGGACAGCGCTCAGAATTGGGGCACCGGAGAATTTTAGCACTCTGCTATGTAACTGTCTACGGTTGGCGATCGAGAACTTCCCAAATGGAGCCCCCAGGCGCTGGGCTCTGTCAGCTACTTCTTGAGCGAATTGAAAGGAGAGCCGGCAAGAATTGCTTGGGAACTTTGCTGTCCCATGGGGAGGTATGGTGGTGCAGTGCTTAAAGCGCTTGGCTGCTAACCAAAAGGTCAACGCTTCCAACCCACCAGCTCCTGTGCGGAAAGAAAGATGAGGCAGTCTGCTTCTGTAAAGATTTACTGCCGGGGAAACCCTATGGGGCATCCCAACTCTGCCCTGTAGGGTCCCTGTGAGTCAGAATCAACCGGAAGGTGAAGAGTTTTTTGCTTTTGCTATCCAACGAACTGCATAGAAAGCGCATTTAGAGATCTACAAAACCTATAGTCCCCAGGCAAAACTCTCCCAAACCTATGGCAGAACTTTTCACTTAATTTGACAGCAAACAAAGTTGACAGCTGTGGATTTGCTTAAAGGAGCCTGAGCTGCCACACTACCTGCTGATAGATGTCTTTAGAAATAGGGAAAAAAGAGGAATTGGCAGATAACCAGAATGTTTGGGTAACCACTGATTAGGTAATGATGATTAGGTCTGAACATCTTTGTGTATTTTATCGTGGCCAATATTTGAACACTTTTAATGATGACAAAACATCATGGTGAATATGCACTTTTTGTTATTTATTAAAATTCATCCCAGAATACTTCAGAATGGTAAGTTTATTGGTCTAAAGGAAAACTCCTAGTTCTGGCATTTTGTTAAGGCGTGAATTATATTAAAATCAATGTACCTGACTTACTTCAGAATGCATTTCTCAGTGAAATTGTTCCTGGCTTGTAAAGTCAACTTTCATAAAGTTTTGACTCTGACATGCCACCAAGTTTAAACCCTGATTCTGTCACTGAGCTGCTAACTTCTGTTAGAAATAGAGAAGATGACAGCAATAAAAGGTTCAAAACTGTCCCATTGCCTATTTTTCATTAATTAATCCTTTCTTCCAAAAATAAATACAGCTCCAATAAAATGCTTTTATAAGGATTACACTGTGCCAAACAAGTCCTGAATGGAAAAAGTTCCCCTTGCTGCAGAATCTCAGATATTCAATTAGTGAAACAATTTTGTGAACCGAAACACAAGCCTCCCTAGCTGAATAACTTACCCTCCTATGATAAGAAGTAGAAAAGACCTTGTTTAAATATCTATTTGAGCCACTTTTTTTTTTTTTTTTTAAATGGATGCAAAGCAAACCCCTTAATTGTCCTTATGTACTTTGGAGAATAAGACCTCAGAATACTTACTATGGTAACATCATGAAACAGGGTTGACCTGCTTTCCCCTCCACCTCCAAAGAATAGCATTTCTAGAAAACCCACCCAATTTGATATTAAATAAAAGGCCAAGAATAGAAGCCTGTTACACAGACTTTGTTAAAATATAGTATGTTTCACACTTTTAGTAGTACTTGAGAAAGATTGCCTAAGACTTAATTCAGGAGCTTTGGTGGTATAGTGGTTAAAGTACTTGACTACTAACCAAAAGTTCAGCTGTTTTAATCCACTGGCACCTCTGTGGGAGAAAGACAAGACAATCTGCTTCCATAAATATTTACAGCCTTGGAAACCCTATGGGACAGTTCCAGTCTGCCCTATAGGGTCACTGTGAGTTGGAATCAACTCAACAGAAGTGGGTTTGTGTTTTTAGTTTAAGAATTAATTGAGTGTTCTTCAGATGAGTATTGAAACAAAGAACTTTTCTTAACATGAAAATTAAGTTTGAATAATAGTAGTATTAATGGTCTTCCTTGTAGTCATATGATTATTATCCTATCACTGACAGCATTGTACTTCAGGACAGATCTTGAAACATCCTTTGTGATGATGAATGCTTTGCTATTCCTCTTCAATGTGTCATTCCTGGCATAGTAGATCATATGGTTGTCTGACTCAAAAATGGCCAAAACCAGTCCATTTCAGCTCACTAATGCCTAGGATGGGAGCTCTGGTAGCATAGTGGCTAAGGCACTTGACTGCTAACCAGAAGGCTGGCGGTTCAAACCCACCAGCCACTCCTCGGAAGGAAGACGGGGCAATCTACTTCCATAGTGATACTGCCTCAGAAACCCAAGGAGGGGTCGCTATGAGTTGGGTCCGACTCTATGGCACATAACAACAACACAACAACAATGCCTAGGATATTGATCTTTATGTGTTCCATTTCATTTTTGACAACTTCCAGTTTTCCTAGATTCATACTTTGTACATTCCATGTTCTGTTTATGAATGGATGTTTGCAGCTGTTTCTTCTTGTTTCCGGTTGTGCTACATCAGCAAATGAGGGTCCTGAAAGCTTTACTCCATCCACATCATTAAGGTTGACTCTACTCTGAACAGCCAGCTCTTGCCCAGTCATATTTTGAGTGCCTTCCGACCTGAGGGGCTCATATTCTGGCACTATGTTGGAGAAGTTTCAGGGCTATTCATAAAGTTTTCCAATAATGTATAATACAGTGTTTCACTGCTGTTCATAAAGTTTTCACTAGCCAATTCTTTAAGAAGTGGATGGCCCCTTCCTTCTTCCAAATCTGTCTTAGTCTGGAAGCTCCGCTGAAACCTGTCCACCATGGGTGACCTTCCTGGCATTTGAAATACCAGTGGCATAGCCTCCAGCCTCACAGCAACATTCAAGCCACCACAGTACAACAAACTTACAGACGAGTAGTAGCATATCATAAATATCCATATGTTTTATTTCATTTTTTCTTTATTCAAACTTGATCATTGAATATTTTTCATTCTTCTATTATTCTGACGTTTATTTTTCTGGTTACTTTATATTCTTTTCAATAGGGTTTTAACTCCTGCATAACATATAGGAGCAAATCCCAACCAACTGGGTAGAAAATTATTGACTAACTAGATGTCACAAATCCAGATATTTGTAGGGATCAGGCAGGAACTATAAGAGAGCGATGGACTTGGGCTATAGTGGAGTAGGTAGGATGTAATGCAGCAGAGAGTCGACTAAACTGAGGAAACAACAGTTTAGTGAGCTTGTTACTGCCACATGGGAGTACAAAGCCTGTGTTGCCAAATCTCCTTATTTTTGAGAGAGAAAGATGAACATTTATAAAATCTTCAGAGTACTAAATAAAATCTGATTACTAAATATCAGTGACATATATACACACACAATTTTAGTTAGGATGTATCGCATGGGCAACTTAAAACATTCTGTGGGATAGTTGGTTCTATTAAAAGTCAGTGTATTCTTTTTAATGTTATGTTTGAAAAAATGGGACCAGGAAGAAACAAAAGCCAAGCTTAATAAAGAATCAACCTTAATTATGAAGATAGATGAGAAACAGAGAGACAGGTCCCATTTTTTTCAGGCTAGGGTAATTCTGTGCCACAAAATAGGTCCAGAGTCAGGAAACAACGTGGATGCTGGTGTGTCCTAGAACTGTGCATCACGTAGGCCTTGACCATTGTTCTGGTTCCCTATCATTGTGTAATAAACCACCCCACAATGTGGTTTAACACAAAGATTAAAGAGCTCTGGTGGTGTAGGTTAGGGCATTTGGCTGCTAAACAAAAGGTCTATGGTTTGAACCTACCAGCCGCTCTGCACAAGAAATATGAGGCAGGTGGTGTAGTGCCTAAGGCATTTGACTGCTAACCAGAATGTTGGTGGTTGAAACCCACCGGCCACTCCGCAGAAGGAAGACTGGACTATCTACTTTGGTAGTTATACTGCCTCGGAAACTCAAAGGGTGTCACTATGAGTCGTAAATGACTTGACAGCAGTCAGTTTGTTTTTTTTTTTAGCTGCTTCTATAAAGATTTACTGCCTTGGAAACCCAGTCAGAATCAACTCAGTGGCAGTGGGTAAACACAATGATTGCTCCCAAGTTTGCAGTTTGAACAGGCTTGGTTGGGACAGCTCTTCTCTGTTTCACTAGGTGTCAGTGGATGGTGGGAATTATCTGAAGGTTCCCTCACTCATATGTCTGGTGGTTGATGTTGTCTGTTGACTGGGACCTTAGCTAGTACTGTGAATGGAGTGTGGCCTTGCATGTGGCTGCTTGGCTTCCTAACCTGACTGGATCCCCAAAGTGAACATACCAAGGGCCCCAGATGGAAGCTGTGTAGTCTTTTAAGATTAGCCTTTGAGTCATATAACATCTCTTCTGCTGTGGTTATAGGCTCACCAGATTTAAGAGGGAACATAGACTCCTCCTCAATATCACTTTATAAAAGAACCCCATGGGAATGAGATATATTAGTGAGGCATCTTAGGAAATGTGTTCTACCACACCCATCCTCAGTGACTTGCCACAGTCTCCTTCTTACCACCTCTTTGGAGTACCTGTCCGTATATGTCCACTCTCTCGTCACTGCTGATGTTGAAAGGCAGTGTTCACTTGTTCACCTTTTCTCTGTCTCTGCCCTACAAACGCACACATAATTAGTGAACCCTTGGTACATTTTCCAGTTTGGTACTCCCTCTGCCCCTCTACCCATAAAAAGAATTGGCAGCCCCA